GAGTGAGGTGTTTGAAGAGGGAAATCGATATTGCTGAAACCATTCGAATACTTATCAATATAGTAATAGAACAGCTACAAAAGGTGACTCTGTTTTTGCTATTGATGAAAATGAATTGCTGGAATTGCATGAATTGGCAAAAGTTTTTATTTATTTACTTGTTTTTTTTATTTACCAGTTTTTAATTCAAATTCCTGAGTTGCATTGAATTGAAGTTTGCAAAAAAACAATAAATGACAATAAATGATGCTAAAAAGCCTCAAAAACACCTTTCTAGTAGACTGAAATCGTGATTTTTCGAATGATATAGCTAAAAGTGATGATTTCAATGCACTAGAAAGTGCATGTTTACAAATTTTGAGCAAGTACAGAGGAGAAGGTTTGCTGTAATTAAGTGGATTCGGGAAGTGAAAAGTTTTTGAAAGGGAGATGAATATTTTGGAGTTGGAAACATTCCACTGTTCGACTCTCCAACAATAACCAACACCATCCAAGTACTGGTAAACCAGGGCTCTAAAATTTGGTTTGATTTGGTTTGATTTATAGGGTTTTTGATTTGGTTTGATTTGATTTGGTTTGATTTGGTTTGGTTTGTTTTGGTTTCGGTTTGACGTTTGGTTTGGTTTGGTTTGATTTGATTTAGTTTGAGTTGATTTGATTTGGTTTCCCGATTTGGTTTGGTTTGTTTTGGTTTGGTTTGATTTGGTTTGATTTGGTTTGGTTTGGTTTGATTTGATTTGGTTTGATTTGATTTGATTTGGTTTGGTTTGATTGATTCCAGATGTGATTTGGTTTTTGACGGTTTGATTTGGTTTGATTTTGTTTGGTTTTGGTTTGTTTTGGTTTGGTTTGATTTGGTTTGATTCGGTTTGATTTGATTTGGTTTGGTTTTGGTTTGGTTTGATTTGGGTTGATTTGGTTTGATTTGGTTTGATTTGATTGGGATTTGGTTTGATTGGTTTTGATTTGATTTGATTTGATTTAAAGGGGGAATTATTAATCGTGGCCGGGTGACGATAAAGATTTTTTACCGCAACCACCTGTTTTTATTTTAATATCGCTGATTTTATTATAAAGAATAAAATCACCCGGCTAGAGCGATTTGATGGGTTTACAATCTGCAATTAAAACTCAATCGATCTAGACTGTGTTGAGGTGTCCTGATGAGTGACGGATCTTGTTTTTCTCCTTGTAGTGCTCCAAAAAATGGTCCTTGTCCAAGCCTTGCAGTGTCTCCAAAATGTCCTTGTCCAAGCCTTTCAGTGTCTCCAAAAATGTCCTTGTCCAAGCCTTGCAGTGTCTCCAAAAATTTGTAAACCCATCGAATCACTCTAGCCGGGTGATTTTTATTCTTTTATAATAAAATCAGCGATATTAAATATAAAAACAGGTGGTTGCCATAAAAATTTTTATCGTCACCTATTTTCGCGATTAATACCCCTTCAATTTGATTTGATTTGATTTGATTTGATTTGATTCGACTTTTCTTTTTACGACACTTTTACAGTACAGCACGCTTTACAGTATCTCTAGAAAATCTAGCCTAAAAACTCACATCCTCTAGCGTTGACGGGGATCCAACTTGAGTGGAAATCGTTCGACTCCACCGAACCAACTTCCTGCATACCGGCGACACCAAGAAGTGGTGAATCCTAAAAGAGTTTTTTTTCTTTTTCCATTAAAAATGAAATTTTCCAAATAAAAAATGCAACTAATGCGAATGTGAAAGAAAATTTTGAACTAAAATAACTACTCGAAATGGCGACTCGGACATTTGATCTTTCCGCCTCGCCCTTTTCTTTGCTTATCTATTGGGTTGGTGAGTTGAATTGGTGAATTGTGCTCACTTAAACGCGAGTTTCTGGCGTACTAGAGTTCACACTGTTAACTGATCCTCAATTAATTTTTAATTTCTAGATCTAAATTCTGATTTCCTATTCGCTCTGGGGACGGTAGCCGCGGATACCACTGGGATTACTGTAAGATCTAATTATATTCCGGATTACGGTAGTAAATACGGTATTTAGTTTATAGTATCGATACGGATTACGGTACTAGTTACAGTATCTCTGGATACCGTCCGTGAACGTGAGCCTTCTGGCAGACACTGTTATTTCTCGGAACGGAAATTCAAATCCCATCCAAATCTATTGGGTTGGTGAATTGAAAACTGCGGGACTTTGAACTAAAATTTATTGAACATAAAACCATAAATTAATTCTAAATAATTTCCATTATTATTGACGACTTCTGCCCATTTTAAAGGCAATTTGCGGATTCCTCTTTCGGGATTTAGGATTTTGGTTTGTGTGTGAGACAAGTGTGAGACTCAAAAATCGAGGAGAGGTTCGAGTTTTGAGCACTTTCTTAAAGAAACCCATTTTGGTGTCAATAGAGAAAGTTGTAGAGAATCAAAAGTAGGCTTATAGCCAAATTTCCAAAAGATACACTTAGTAGTTTCGCTTAAAATGCAAGTTTTGTGAAAATTCGTAACATTTGGAATTTCTTGAAAACCGGTTTTTGAATCGTTCTGAAATTTTGGATATAAGCTTGATTTTTGATTCTCTACAACTTTTCCATTGACACCAAAATGGGTTTCTTTTGAAGAAAGTGCTCAAACTGTCACATACGACAGTGTCAGCAGTTTTCAATTCATCAACCCAATTTTATGCTCAAATTTCTCGGTGTTGATTTATTCAATTTAGAAATTAGAAATAGAAATATCATTAAATGCGCCTAATCTTTCTCATCGATTTCTATAAAAAACTATTTATATTGAACAGCAAAAAACCAAGAAATTTGAGCTTCAATGGCGATCAAATATCCCACAATCACTGCCAAGCATTGGAAACCCTTTTTGATTCTCATTTTTGAAGTCATTTGTGGATTTGTGGAATTACAAATGGGCGGGAGTTGGGGAGTTGTTTTTTTGATTAGACTTCAGAGTTATAGATTGTTTAAGATTTTTTGAGAATTTCCTTGATAAAATCATTTTTTGTTGTTGATATTTTTGAGAAAATTTTCATTTTTCGTTCTTTTTTCTTTATTTTTAAATCTTTGGAATTGGGATTAGCGGTTTTTTGAATTTTTAAAGAATTCTTAACATTTCGAGATTTCTCATTGTTCAATTTCTTTTCCAAAAGATATTCTCGGAGATTTTTTGAATGTTTTCGATTATTGGCTTTCCTGAGATTCTCCTGTGGTTTAGGCGTTTTTCGTTTGCCAGGAATTACTGTCGATACCGTAATTGGGAGTTTCCCTACCGTAATTGGCCCATTTCCTTCCGAATTCTTGAGCTTTTATTCGATTTCACTTGAGCTTTCAATTTCTCATCTCTAAAGCTTTTTTGAAGGTTTTTTGAAAGTTTTACAAATTTTTGCGGTTTTGTTGTTGTTGAGAATTCATTTGATTGTTGTTTTTGAGAAGTTGATGAACTTTTTGAAGCTTTTTTTTGGACAATCGTCTTCGGACAATCGGACAATCGAATTCCTTTCGATTTTCGAAGTCTCAGGCAAAAATCGAACTTTTTCCTTGCTCGATAAAGTTGAAGTGAGAATTTTCTCAGTCGAACTTTGCTTTTTCTCATTTCTTTGCGCTTTCATCGTAAAATTTGCCGCTTGTGAAGCGATTTCTTGCAGAGAGAAACGTTTTTGAATGCTAAATTCAGAGAAAAGTTTATCAGCTATTCGTTCAGCTATCAGTCTTTCTGAGAAAATGTTTATTATAAAATTTCAAACTATCCATTGCACTTACTGGTGTAATCTTGTCACAAGCTGGCATTCCAATGATCCCGCAAACCGTTTGCCGAAAGAAAATCGAGTTACCTTCCTGAAATTTTCGACTTCGTCTTTTTCTTTATCTATTATATAAAAGACACCTATTTTAGGTAAATTACCGTTACCAAACTATCAATTTTTATTTAATCAGCTCGGTTTACTGAAAATATTATCATTTGGGTCTTATGATCATTTGGCTCGGACGAGATTCGGCTTGAAAAAAGCAAAAGAAATCAAGGCGGGATTGAACTTGTTATGTCTCGCTCTAGAAGCGAAAGCTTTACCACTCAGCCACGGCTGCAACGAACCGGGTCCGCAGGGAAACCGTTAAGAGGCCGCTAAGCCCGATTTCAGAGTCTTAACAAAAAAAAAACAAAAAAAACAAAACAAACAAAATAAAAACTTTAAACCCTTATAACTTCTGACAGATTGTCATTTGGAAAAAACGGAATATAGATTCGGAATCAGCATCAAATTCTGCGTATAGGTCGTATAGCATTTAGCCGGTTTAGCCAGCTGAAAAGTGGATGGATGAGCAAAACTCAGCCAGTGCCTGAGCTGATTGAGCTGATTAAAATGAAACAAAAATTGAGCTGATTAAAGGGAAACTAGTGGTTTGAGTAGCTTTCTAGAATTGTTTTCTTTTAAAAAAACTTGAAAACACATGAGTTTATGTAAATGATTTACCTTAAAGCATTGTGACAAGAGGTTCTCTTCGAGTACCCGGATCACCCACATCTAAATCTTTTCCACCATCGGTTCGACATCCTAAATTTGTATTTTCTTTTAAGCGCTTAGTCAATTGCTTGTTGCTTAGTCAATTTTCTAAATTTAGAAAATTGAAATGCGATAAATTGATTGTAAATCGAACCCTCAATAACGTAGACTCCGAATTTTTGACAACGATATCGCAATGGCCTCCTTGAAAAGCCTCACCCTCAGCGTAATCCTTTCCATCTTTATAACATCTCTAAAAATAGAAGAGAGAGCTTCTAGCTAGCTAGCTAACTAGCTTCCTTTCTACTAGCTTCCTTTCTACTAGCTTCCTTTCTATTAGCTTCCTTTCTACTAGCTTCCTTTCTACTAGCTTCCTTTCTACTAGCTTCCTTTCTATTAGCTTCCTTTCTACTAGCTTCCTTTCTACTAGCTTCCTTTCTACTAGCTTACTTCCCTTATCTTCCTTCCCTTCCCTTCCTTCCTTTATCTATCCACCTTATCAAATCTCTCATCAAATCTCCCAACCTTTGGCATCGCCTCTTCAAGAACTTTTGCCAAATCCTCATTTCCATGCAATATAATCGTTTTTTCAATCGTTTCCCCGAGAATCCCGGCGATGAAAATCCCGAAAATGAACCACATTCTAAAAGTTAACTTTTAAAAAAGATCTAAACCCAATCTCGCAATCTAAATGGTAAACAGGCGCCTTAAAAAAGACTTTAAAACTCAAAAGTTCTAAAAATTAACTTTTAAAAAAGATCTAAACATAAAAATCAATCGCATTGCAAGCAAAACAAAGCTTTTATATTAGGAAAAGCATCCAAGGTCAACTCTCACAAAATCTCTGTCTTTCTCGAGGCGCCAACATTCAGCAACAGCAAATTTCTCTTGACAATGACCTAATTTTTTTTAGGGAAAAATTGAAAATTTTAGATACAGAATCATTGAAAATTTTGAGTTTTAAAGTCTTTTAAGGCGCCTGTTTACCATTTAGATTGCGAGATTCGGTGGATAGTGGAAAAGAATCGAATGGAATGAAAATGAAATGAAAAATCGAATTGAATGAGATGAAATGAAATTGAATCGAGAAAAAGATCTTCCAAGATTTTTCAGATCACCTTTGTGATGATGCAGAGTCAAACAAATGGTAAAAACGATTCGCATTTCTCAGAGTTTTTGTTCAAATTTTTGGGAAATCTTTTCCCCCGAATCTAGGGATTCCATGAGTGGAATCGTTGAGGAATCGTTGAGGAATCGTTGAGGAATCGTTGAGGAATCGTTGAGGAATCGTGGAGGAATCGTTGAGGAATCGTTGACTGGTTATCTTACTTCCTTTATCTTCCGTTGAAGTTGAGTGGAATCGTTGAAGCATTAGGGATTCCATGAGTGGAATTGTTGAGAATATCAAATCGTAATTTTGAGTAACTTTTGAGTTTTTGAGTAACAGTTTAAGTTTTTGACAGATCAAAGTACTTCCAACAGTAAAGTAAGGCGTAAGGCCTTTTCCAGACGGTGTAGCTCATTGGTAGAACGTTCGCCTACGAGGCGAGACGTCGTGGGCTCGAATCCATGCTGTGTTTTATTTTTTTGGAATGTACATTGTGAAGAAATTGAAGCACTTTGTACTTTAATACTGTACTTTGTACTTTACCGTATTTACTCTATTAGTACTGCGAAATACTATTTTTGTGGTGACGGCTGAGTTCAAGAACTTGAACTTTGTTCAAGTCGATTTCCTATGTAAGATAAAAACTGTAGCCAACAAAATGGTCAACAAAATGGCCAACAAAATGACTGACAAGGGCTTTTCTGCACTGTTCTACATTGACACAAAGTCTAGATTTTCGATTGTTCGTTGATTGATTGTCTAGATTGTTCGGCCAATTGTTTTGCTCCTTCTGGAATTGGAAAATTTTTCTTGAAACAGTGAATGAGAGCATCTTCTGACTCATCCAAAACCATCGTAATTGCACAATTTTGGAAAGAATGAATGATCATACCCTTTGGCAACTCACTCTGAGTCATCCAAACCCAATCAAGATTTGTTTCCATTGGTGGAGGAGCCGGGTTTCCATTCCGGGTCACTGGTTTTCGTTCATTCGTCATCCAATGCTCGTAAAATGATCAAATTTTGGCCTTAAACAGTGCGTTGCAAAACAATATCGGGAGCTTGAATGAATTTAGTGAATCCACATGCACAGAATTGAATTGAACTGCACAAGAATTGAATCACTCTAAAGCTCCTTGAGTTTCTTCTTCGTTGTCTCACTTTTGTGAGTCGAGAGTGTGAGATCAACTATGATCTCACACCAGCAGCCGCTTTCCGAAAAGCGAAGCTCCGAGAACCTTCTGAAGATAGACACCAATGAAGGTATCGTTCATTCAAGTAGATCCTCCGCAATGCAACTCGAGTTTGTTGTGGAGCTTGGTGAGAACTTTTGGATCGGGACGAACTCGATTTAGCAAAACAAAAGGGATTTAGCAAACAAAACGTGCATTTGGGACCATCATCACGAGCGGAAAAATTGATGTAGAAAATTGAAAGATATTCAGTCAACAAAAAATCGAAAATCTAGACTTTGCGTCAATGTTGAACAGTGCAGAAAAGCCCTTGTTAGTTATTTTGAAACATATTTACTTAATTAGCAAAGAAGTCGGCTACTACAGTCCTGGACAATGAAATATGATATTTGAGAAACGATCGTCACGTTCGCACGTTCGTCACGTTCAACTGAGATCACCATGAACGTTGCTTACCGATCTAACGAGATAGCTGGATTGCGAGATAGCTGCATTAGGAGACAGCTGGATTACGGATAAAGTACTGGACAATGAAATATGATATTTGAAAAGCGATCGTCACTTTCGCGTCACGTTCGCACGTCTGTAACTTCCTTGTCTTTGAGTTTAAACTATTAGTGTTTTGCATTTTCTGAAAGCTCTTTTCAAGCGCTACACAATGGTAATATTAATATTAAAAATACGATAAAGACAAGGGAGTTACAGACGCGCGAAAGTGCGAAAGTGTTTTTTCAAATATCATATTTCATTGTCCAGTACTGTAAATACCAACAAATAAAAATTAAATTTGGATCAGTGCAAATTTGCGTGCAATACTATTTTTTTTCGATCTACCCCTAGCCCGCAGTACTATTAGGGGTGTGATACTAATAGAGTGAATACGGTACAACCCTAATTACAGAAGTACTCCAGATTACGGTTTGTGGAAGGATTGTTGACGAAGGGACCAAGTCACCGGGGGATTACTGTACGTCTGGGAGTCGGTTTAGACCTTCCGGCTGGTTTTGGTTTAACAGGATCTGGAATTTGTAGAAGGCAAATTTGGCGCAGGTATTGTCAGCAGGATTTTGGGCCTACTGACGCCCCAAAAGCTAAACGTTAACAACGTTAACATGAACCGTTAACACGGCTTTGGTCGCCCGTCGCCCGCTCATCGCTGCCGTGTAAATGAACTCCAAATTTGCTATTGGGTTGGGGACTATGACTCGGCGCCAAACTTTAAAGGGACTTTTTGCACACATAAAGCCTTCTTTAAACATACGTTTGGTTTCATCAAAAGGATCCACTATTTCTCTACAAAATCACTTTTGAGAGATTCCACAAAGCTTTTCTTTCGTGGAGTTTATGGACTCCCAAACACAGCTAGTCAAAATGGCAAAGAGTCCGACTCATCCATTTGAACAGTTTCTTTCACATAAACCTTCTTTGGTGTTTATATAAAAAAGATAGAGCACATTCAATTACTTAAGTTGCCAAATTTGCAGGAAGATCCCACCAATGGTTTTTTCTAGATCACAGTTTGTAGTTTTTGTGAAAAAATGGCTTTTTCTTGAGCGGAGGCGCTGTTTGAATTTTCTTTTAAATGTCGTTTTGTAGAGAATTAGTTAACCATTCTACTGATATCAAACGCATATTATTTGACGAAGTCGAATAGAAGTTTTAGACATTTTTTTGATTTTCGGCGCCGAGTCATAGTCCCCAACCCAATAGTATAACTAGACATATCTGAGTACTTTCTAAAGTAAACCTAAAGTAAACCGCTTTAGAAAGTAACTTTCTAAAGTAAACCTAAAGTAAACTGCTTTAGAAAGTAACTTTCTAAAGCGTCTAAAGTCTAAAGTCCATTCGCTTCTAATGGAAAACTATTTCTGTAGTTAAACAAAAGGTAAAACTGAGTAACTTGTCGAGTAACTAATTAGACTTGAGTATTAGGGGAGCTTGTACAATTATCCACTCCAGTTTTCGATTTGTTATTGGATAAAAGACTTGTGCGGGTAATCCGGGCAACTCAGAGAACTCATGTCTGCAGAGGGGTGAAGGGGCGGGGCGCCTCTCTTCACCTCTCGATCCCTTCACTCCCTTTCCCCAATCCAATCCATTCCACTTCCAGCTGATTCCTCATTCTAACAATATAATGATTTAACTTTCCATCTCTTTTCAAAAAAAAATGTCTAAATTTCTAATTATCTTTTCTCTTCTGAGTTTTTGGACATTGAACAATGGAATCGTTTTTCAAGGTGGGTAAATATTTCTTCTAAAGCTTTAATTATAAGTTTTGGTCGATTTTTGAAGATAATAATCAGTTTGAAGATAATAATTAGTTATTTTTGAAGATAATAATTAGTTTAAAGTTAACAATCACTTCTTTCCACTACTTTGTTTTAACAATAAGAACCTTGTAAAATACTTTGTGTTCAGAGTTTTGTAAAACGCTCTCTAGCGACTTCTTCTTCTTTTGCCTTTACTTATGAAGAGCTTAGTGCGCCAAAAAGCATGCATTTCTAAAATCCGAAGAACACAAAGTACAGTAAAGTAAAGTAAAGCAAAGTAAAGTAAAGCAAAGTAAAGTAAAGTAAAGTAAAGAAAAGTAAAGTAAAGTAAAGAAAAGTAAAGTAAAGTAAAGCAAAGAAAAGCAAGTTTTCTGAATGTAAATGCAAAATTAAAATAAGTAAAGCTAAAATGTACGTGAATAATTGAATTTCTGATTTGTTTCATTTGTTCATTCATTTGTTTATTTCTGATTTTATCTGTCTATTTTCTACCAAATCTTTTCTTTTTCTTTTCATTTTTTAAAAAAGAATAAAGAATAGAAAGAATTAAAAAAGAATCTGATACCGCTCACCCTTTCTCTTCCCACCTCTTCTCACCCTCTTCCTTTTCTTTTCATTTAAAAAGAATACCTCTTCTCATACCGCTCACCCTTCCTCTTCCAATCTCTTCTCACCCTCTTCCTTTTCTTTTTATTTAAAAAAGAATACCTCTTCTCATACCTCTCACGCTTCCTCTTCCCACCTCTTCTCACCTCTTCCCACCTCTTCCCACCTCTTCTCACCATTTCTCTCCTAGCAACCCCTCTTGTCTTTTCCAAAAACAGAAAAAGACTTTTAAAAAAGAAAAGGAAAAGCTCCATTTCATCCATTGGCTTTTGTTTTTTAGTGAAAAAAAGATTCACAAAGATTCACAAAGTTAGAAGAACTTTTATGCGCTGATTGGTTGCTCTTTTAGTGAGTTTTCAGTCAGTTTTCAACTAAATTTTCTTCAGAATTGTCTCCAAATTCTGACATGAGAAAGCTACATTTCGAATCTAATTCCACCATTGTTTTCACCAATTTCTCTATTTTTGTCTACAGATAGAAATCGATTCCAAACAAAATGTAGACAGCTTGTAGACAGCTTGTAGACAGCTTGTAGACAGCTTGTAGACAGCTTGTAGACAGCTTGTAGACAGCTTGTAGACAGCTTGTAGACGGCTTGTAGACAGCTTGTAGACAGCTTGTAGACAGCTTGTAGGCAGCTTGTAGGCAGCTTGTAGACGGCTTGTAGACAGCTTGTAGACAGCTTGTAGACAGCTTGTAGGCAGCTTGTAGGCAGCTTGTAGACGGCTTGTAGACAGCTTGTAGACAGCTTGTAGACAGCTTGTAGACAGCTTGTAGGCAGCTTGTAGGCAGCTTGTAGACGGCTTGTAGACAGCTTGTAGACAGCTTGTAGACAGCTTGTTAGAAGCAATCAAAAAGAAACAGCCAAAAGAAATAACCTTTTTCGGTGGGATTAGGTTCGGCTTGATTTAAGGCTTGATTTCCTATTTAAGATTGAGATAAGAAGGATAAGAATCCCTGTGATTGGCCAACAAAATGAGTAACAAGGGCTTTTCTGCACTGTTATTGACTCAACATTGACTCAAGTCCATATATTGACCAATTGGGTAAATGAATCAACTGAAAATTGAGTCTCAGAGTTGAGCCTGTTTGTTGTTGAGCTGTTGAGCTGTTGAGCTGTTGAGTTGAGCCTAGCCAAGATTTGTTCTATCAACTGTAGAAGGAATGTTTATTAAGGAAAGTCGATTAGAATAGATTAGATGAAACAAAATCCCTTTTTCTCTTGGCTAGATAGCTCAATGGTCTAACCATTGCCCGGAATCTAACCATTGCCATTGCAATGGCCTGGAATGGAAAGGTTAAAGAAAGATCAAGGATTTAAATCCCGGAAATCTTTCTTTGTCACTTTATTAACCTTTATCTAACTAGATTAACTAGTTACTATAACTTTATTTAACTAAATTAACGATTAACCAAACTTTTTATTAACCAAACGAATCAATAGGTAAGTTTACTAAGATTTTAGTCAAATATTGCCCTATTGGCTAGCTTGGGGTACTCCAGAACGTTTCTGGTGGTCAATTTTGAAGCGGAGTAGTCAATCTGTCTGAAATCTTATTATGATCGAGAAAGAGAGAAGTGGATTGGGATATTGGGATAAGAATCCCTCTTGAAAATCTCATCATACTCTCTTATGACTCACCCACAAACCCTAGCATCAAGAGAATCTAATAGGTTAAAGAATTTCGAAATATTAAATCTCTAAAGATAAAACTCATTTGATATTATGTATGCAAACGATATTATGCAAACGATATGTTAAATGCAAACGCAAAGCCTCTAGCGTAAGAAAAATGGGGGAAAAAGTACCCTAGAAAGGATGAGTTTAGAAATTTGAGCATAATAAAGAAACAAGAGAATCTAAAGCTCTAAAGGATCTAAAGATCTAAGAGAATCTAAAGCTCTGAGAGAATCTAAAGCTCTAAGAGAATCTAAAGCTCTAAGAGAATCTAAAGCTCTAAGAGAATCTAAAGAATCTAAAGCCCTAAGAGAATCTAAAGCTCTAAGAGAATCTAAAGCTCTAAGAGAATCTAAAGCTCTAAGAGAATCTAAAGAATCTAAAGCCCTAAGAGAATCTAAAGCTCTAAGAGAATCTAAAGCTCTAAGAGAATCTAAAGCTCTAAGAGAATCTAAAGAATCTAAAGCCCTAAGAGAATCTAAAGCTCTAAAGAATCTAAAGATCTAAAGAATCTAAAGATCTAAAATCTAAAGATTTCTTGCTCAAATTTCACAATTCTCTTTCCTTTTCTAATCCAATTATTTCTTATTTATTAGTGTTTTTTCAAAAATTTCAATCATTTTTTTGTTTTCCTTCTTTACAAATCTTGAGAGAGACTTTTTTGAATAAAACTTTCGACAAAAAGATGGGGGACCAGTTCAAGGTGAATCGAATTTACGTTTTCCCAAATCAGAACGAAAAGTAGAAAAGAATGGGGAGAGTTTTAGTTGGAAAAGAGTGAATTTAAAAGATCTTTTCGTTCATTATCCGTATTTGACTGGGTAAATAAAAAAGAAAACCTTGAAATCAACATTTTTTCTTTTGAAAGAAACGAAGATTCTTTTGAAATTGAAGCAAGAATTGAACCAAGAATTGAACCAAGAATTGAACCAAGACTTGAACCAAGAATTGAACCAAGAATTGAATCAATCAATTCTTTTGAAAGAAATCAATATTCTTTTGAAATTCTGAATCATATTAGATTTGTAATATTAAATTATTTGAAAATACTACTATAAGCTCATTGAATTTTTTATTTTATCTATTTTTTCACTCAAATTCGATCAGCATTCTAATTTATAGCAAAATTGAAGCCATTTTTCTTATCTCGCTCTCGTTTTTTCGTTGAACACTGACCGGATAGCATCAGCGATTCTGTAGCGAATGAAAAGTGGTCCGTTGTGGTCTCTTTTTCTCCCATTTTTCCTCTCAAACCTCTTCTCATCGATGCATGAAAAGTAGAAAAGGAAAAAGAGTGAAATGGATGGATGGACTTACTCTCCTTTCCCTTCAACGAGGTCGGGTCTTTCATGGGGACTTTTAGTCAAATTTCGATGGGGAAAATGGGATAAAAACAAAAAGAGACAAAAGAAAACTCACTATTAAATAGAAAGATATCAAATTTAAATATATAATAATATTTTAAATAGTTTTTTAGTAAGGCTGCAAATCAGTCTGTGCGTTCTCTCCATGTTGTTCGTAAGAAAAAGCGGCGTCTGGCACATTGCCCCTGGTTAACCTGCCCGGAAACGTTCCTCAGCCGGTTTAATTACCCAAGTTTCGTGGGGTCAGACTTGGACGGTTGAGACGGCGGCGGGGCATTGGATGGATGGCCTCTATCCGAGCCTCTATCCGGACCTCTATCCTGCCACTGTGCCAGACGCCGCTTTTTCTTACGAGCGACAGAAAGAGAACGCACAGGCCTGATTTTAAATCTGACCTATTTATCTTGAAGATTTTCAATTTTCTACAATTTCTACAATTCCTTCTTTACTCACATTTTCCCATTTTGTTCACTAACCACAAATAGGGCTAAAAAAAGGAAAGGGTCCACTAAAAAGTGTGCTGAAAGAGTCAAACAAAAAAGCCCAAAAAAAGGGAAAAAGAGGCCAAAACTGGGTAAAAGGTGGCCCTAAACGGCGGGCAATTCAATTGGCGGAAATGTGGGGAAACAAGGGGTTTTTTTCCGGAGGAGTTTGACTGAAATGAATGATTGAATTCCAATCAAATTACCCATTAGTTTATGTCAAATTCAACCTGGTTTTTCTTTTTGAAACTTCAAATTTCCCAACTACAAGATGAGGGAAAAGCACGCAATTTTCCAAAAGTCCCATTTTCTTGACTTAAAAAAAAGCGAAAAGCCGACAAGTGCAATTATTCAATTGGCTCACAGCCGACGATTAGTGGATTCAACGGGAAAACGAGAAAATGTACAATGTTTTGTTAAGGAAAAGATTTCAGGAAACTTAAGAAATCTCTTCTGAAGGAGAGAGCTGAAAGCTATTTGAATCAATTTCAAAGCTAAAAGCTGATTTTTTTTGCCCGATCCGTCTTTAAAGCTTGTCTGAATTTCTAGTGGACATGATTTTTAGTTTTTTAGGCTTAAAATCAGTTTTGCATCTCTTATTTCGTTTTTTAAAAAAGCAAAGCAAGAAGAACAGAGCCGGGAGTTGAACCCGGATCGTTCAAGCGGCAGAGAAGAGCGCTCCCGACTGCGCCACGACGACGACAAGCTGTCAGCTAAAAGCCGCTGTTAACCGCGCTGGTTTTCTCTAATAGATTTCACGTAATGTGTTTCTGAATTCGTCTCGTGGTTGAATCGCCGTTGAAAGATGACCAAAAAGTCTCCCCAAGGGACATTTCGAGTATATTCTTGAAAAGAAAAGTATAAAGAAAAGAGAAATCAAAATGGATGACATTTCTGTCTCTTTCTGTCTCTTCTACTCTAATCCATCATCCCGGAATCAGTTATCCGTCAGCTTCTTGCTGTGCGTTCTTTCCCTGTAGCTCGTAAGAAAAAGCACCGTCTGGCACACTGCCCGCTGGTAAGCCGGCCGAAAATTCTCCTTTGCCGGTTTAATTACCCAAGTTGCCAGAAAGCGATTATTGGAAACTTACATTTGGAGTATATTCTTGAAAAGAAAAGTATAAAGAAAAGAGAAATCAAAATGGATGGCATTTTTCTCTCTCTCTTTCTGTCTCTTCTACTCTAATCCATCATCCTGGAATCAGTAAAGAGAAGGGAAAATCCCCTTCACCCAATCCTTTCATGACTATTTAATGGAATCTCTGATTTGAGTCCGAGAAGCGAGAAGAGAAGAAGATTGAGCAATTCTAGATCTGGAATTGAAAGGATGAAGGAGTTAGCTTCTTGCTGTGCGTTCTTTCCCTGTCGCTCGTAAGAAAAAGCACCGTCTGGCACACTGCTCGCTGGTAAGACGACCGGGAACAATGCTCGGCCGGTTTAATTACCCAAGTTTCCAGAAAGCGATTGTTGGAAACTCCAAAGTTGATGTTGATACCTTTTTGCAGGAAAATTTTAGATTTTTAGTATCTAGATGCATTCGTTGGGGTGAATGAAAGGCTTACTTTCCGCACGAATGCTTCTTTGAGTTCTCTACTTTTCCTCTCTCTTCTCTCTTCTCTTCTCTTCTCTTCTCTTCTCTTTCCTCTTCTCTTCTCTCTTCTCTTCTCTTCTCTTCTCTCTTCTCTTCTCTTTTCTTTCCTCTTCTCTTCTCTTCTCCATTCGTAATTACCTCTCACCCCAATCCAGCAATGCGATGAAGGGGAAAGCTGTGAAAATTTTCCTGAATGAAACATTTATCTACCTACATTTATCGCTGAGAAAAGAGAAATTCAAGGCTCTTGAAAGCTGTTTGAATTTGAAATTTACAAAAAATGCCTAACAATTCAATGATTAGATTAGATTTCAAAGATTAAACTCAACAAAATCCATTTTAAACTCAAAAATCTGGCTCTCTAACTTCGTTTCAAGTTGTAAAATTGAATTTTTTATTTACATTTGACTTGTAGAAGCAATTTTTAAACAAACTTAAACTTTATATACTCAAAAAAACTAAAGAAAACTTATGAAAAGCTAGAAAATCGAAAAAAACGTGGTTTTTTCGACTTTGAAACTTTGAAATCTGAAAAAGAAACAAGAATAAGAGAAAAATGTGATGAAATTTGACTTTTTTTTCTTACCTCTACAACTTTTTCAAAAAAATAACGAGCTTGACTTGAAATTTCGAATTTTTTAGCGTTTTCTATGGCTATAAATAATGATTATTTGATAATTGGCCATGTTTTATTTATAGTAAAACTTTACTACTTCATAATTGACCATGTTTTAAGCTGTTCTTTGAACAAAACTATTTTTTCTTTAAAAGTAATACGTACTCTTCATATTTCTCCTCTTTTCTTCTCTTGAAAGTCAGCTCTGGAAATTCCCTAAGGGAAAAATCTTACGGAAAAAAAAGACGTTCGAAAGCACTAATATTTTCAAAAGTTAAATAGCAAAAGAAAAAGAGTTTTAGAAAAATAAAGCACTGTAAACTTTAGATAACTTTAGATAACTCTAGATAGCTCTAGATAGCTCTAGATAACTCTAGATAACTCTAGATAACTCTAGATAACTCTAGATAACTCTAGATAGCTCTAGATAGCTCTAGATAACTCTAGATAACTTTAGATAACTCTAGATAACTCTAGATAGCTCTAGATAGCTCTAGATAACTCTAGATAACTTTAGATAACTCTAGATAACTCTAGATAGCTCTAGATAGCTCTAGATAACTCTAGATAACTTTAGATAACTCTAGATAACTCTAGATAGCTCTAGATAACTCTAGATAACTTTAGATAACTTTAGATAACTTTAGATAAAGAATTTTCAAATCAAAACCAGCTTTTTTTCTAGGTCAATGCGCTGACAATGATCTCCTTTGTGAACAGCTTTGTTTAACGATCACACAAGAGACTTACGAATGTGGATGTTGGAATGATCACACTTTGCTTGATGATGGACTATCCTGCAGATGTGAGGAGGTTTTTGAAGCTTTGCTGCTGCTTTACAGCGAAGAGAGAAGCCGAACCCGCCACCTTGCTCTTTCGTTCGTTTGAAACACCCGCGCGTTAACCACTCGGCCATCCTCTCTGTGGATAGCAGTGACAGTATGGATGACAGAGCGGACTTATCTCTAGCCCATACCTCCCGCCTTGCTCCGTAGATGGCGCAGTGCGAGCGCTCTTGTCTCTAGTCCATACGACCCTGGTTCGACTCCCCGCTCGTGTCGACACTTTTGGTTTTTTAAAAATTTAAAACCTGTTGCACAAATAGATAAAATTTTAAGCTAAGCTAACTCTAAATCATTTGAAATGGCTAATCTTGAACCTAAACCTTGAACACTTTGTAACTGTAATACTTCTAATTCTAGATGAGCACTTCTCTAGCCCTGTGAAATCTTACAATTAGATTTCTATTGGCTATGGAAACTACAGATGAAAGTAGTATTTATCTTTGGAGTGGGGAAGTCTTGCTGTCAGGGTTCTCAGTCTTGCTGGGTCAAAGCCAGGATCAGACCAATCTTTTGACTCCGATTAGGGTCTAGAATCTAGCCTGTACTTAGTCTGTTCTTTCTTCTAAATTTTAACGAAGATCCAGTTGGAATATTAAGGATTTGGTTGATTGGGTCAGCACTAAGATTGGGTTAGCAGGACAAAAGATTGGTCTGATCCTAATCTAGACCCTAATCGGAGTCAAAAGATTGGTCTGATCCTTAGGGTTAGCAGTAAAGCCAAAGAAGTCAGGGATCTGGATGGCTGGCTTTGCTTTGCTTACTTTGGCTGGCTTTGGAGGAGATTTCTGCTTTGTTTTACAGGCTTTAGGGTTCAATTTTTCAAGATTATTTTACTTTTAAACCTTCAGTGAATGCAACGAAAAGCACGGCTCGCGATCGGCCAACAGAGCGGCTCACAAGTCCGAAAACGGTTTGTTAAAGCAAAGAAAAGACTAGAAATAGTTGAAATTAGCTTTAAAAGTTAGCTTTAAAGCATCTGAACTTAAGCTAGAGCATCTAAACTTAAGCTAGAGCATCTAAACTTAAGCTAGAGCATCTGAACTTAAGCTATTTTCAGACAACTGCATTGCCAGCAGCTCATCGAGAACCGATTCAATTGTTGCCTGTTGATAAAGATCCACCATTGAGATTTAATGGTAATTTTTGATAAAGGAAAAGCTTTAAATAAAATCTATAACAGAAAGATTTAAATGAAATTAGTTTGATTTTTAAAATTAATGTTTAAAATTGTTTAAAATCAATGATTTTAGGTGAAAGTTATGCGGAATTTCTGCTTGATGACTCGTTTTATCTTCAATCGAATGTCACCATTGAGTTCAAGTAAGGAAAAAAAGAGATTCTCTAAGATTCTCTTAGGAAAAGAAGTCATTTGGATTACTGTATTTGTATTACTGTAAGTCATTTGTATTACTGACTCGTTTTATCTTCAATCGAATGTCACCATTGAGTTCAAGTAAGGAAAAAAAGAGATTCTCTAAGATTCTCTAAGATTCTCTTAGGAAAAAAAGTCATTTGGATTACTGTAATCGATAGATCGATAGATTTTGATTACTGTAACTGATCTAAAGCTTCTTTACCTTCATCTGAATAACGGGTAGTTACAGATGGCTTTCTGTAAGTCGATGAAGAGGCACAGTACTCCAAACTTGCTGTAGCAAGTTTGCTGTAGCTGTATCCCATTTTTTGATTTACTGTACTATTTACTATTTATTTACTGTACTATTTACTAACTGTACTATTTACTTACTGTACTATTTACGATTTATTTACTGTACTATTTACTGTAGTTAATCTAGAAAAGGCTTTGATTACTAGGCTTTAATTACTAGACTTCTCCAGACTAGTTTGATTTACTTTTCTGTACTTCAATTGTACTTCTGTACTTCTGTACTTCTGTACTTCTGTACTTCACTTGTACTTCTGTATTTCTGTACTTCTTTTCTTTAGAATCAACTCCAATCAAGACAGCTTATTGCTATTTGCTGGAGAATTTGAAGGAGATGATTTCTTTTCTCTAGCTTTTCAAGGACCAAATATTATTTTACGGTAAGCTGATCACTGTATTCATTTTGAATACAAATTTAGATTCGATTGTGGTGAGGGACCCATTGAGGATATGTATAGGTCGGTGGAAACTAGAGAAAAGAAACTAGAAAAACTCGTTTACTGTAGCTGGTTGTTTAAAAAGCTCTGGATAAAGCTATTAAAGTGAGCTATTGTTTCCAGAGGCCCGTTTAAAAGTGATGAATGGCACATTTTGTCGGTTCATCGGCGCTTCTGCGAGTACGCTGATATGAAGGCTGATATGGGGAGTCGCATGGTCGACGAGACACAACAATTTAAGGTAACTAGATTGGTAGACGAAATGATTCGTTTGGTTTGCTTAACCGGTTCTCTAGATTTCAATTATTTAAGCGTTTCTCTAGATACTCTAGATTACTCTAGTACTCTAATACTCTAGATACTAGACAGTACTCTAGTTCTCTAGATACTAGAAGCTACTCTAGTACTCCAGATACTAGAAGGTACTCTAGTTCTCTAGCTACTAGACAGTACTCTAGATTTATAAGCCATTTACAATACTATTCAAACGGTACTTTTGTATTCAAAAAACAAAACAAAACAAGATAAATGTAAATTTCTCGCTTTAGTTTGGCAAAGATAAATCGTATAAATAGCTTTATTTGGTTTAAATTCGTTAATTTTAGCTTAAATCTATTCAAAACGAAAGTCTAGATCAGATAAGAGACAAGAGACAAAACCAAAGCAAGACAAGAGACAAACCCTAAACAAGACAAGGAACAAGACCAAGACAAGACAAGAAACAAGACCTAAACAAGACAAAAAACAAAGCCAAAACCAACAAAATCTAGAAAAAAATAGGCTAAAATTGAATGGAGTCAGTTTTCGAAGATCAATTTTCGCAAGCTACTATAGAAAAGGTTTATTTTGACTTCATAAATGGTTAGCAGGATTACTGTAGGCTACCGTAGGCTATCGTAGTCGGCTAATTGTTCTTAATTTTTATAATATGTTTAGTACTATAAAGGGATCACCGTTGATCGAGGGATTTTCATCGGCGGAGCACCAAAGGAAATCGATTTTCTCGATGGTTTGTTTAGAGAAAACAATCAAATTTTCATAATTCCATAGCTGAATATCTTTATCTAAGTATTTATTAATCTTTTTTTAAATTATTATCTTTATTAATCTTCTTCTAGCTTTTAAGTACTGTAGTTTAAAGGTATTTTTTGAAGACTAAAGTCAGCTTTTTGGGGGTTGAAAATTGTAAACGCATCCTTTCTGGTGCATTAAATTCATCTATAATAATGTAATTTTATATAATAATGGATATAGTAATGCATACAATAATGTATACAATAATGTAGTTTTTTTTTTTTATGTGGAAAGAATAATTGTTTATTTTAGGTCGAGCTGGATCCGATCAAGGTCTGGATGGATGTGTGCGAAGGGTAAGTTTGTGAATGTGAAGTTTAGAGGGCTTGTCTTTGAATGATCAGTTTAGAGGGGTAGTTTTTGATGATCAGTTTAGAGGGCTTGTCTTTGGATGCTCAGTTTAGAGGGGTAGTTTTTGATGATCAGTTTAGAGGGCTTGTCTTTGAATGATCAGTTTAGAGGAGTAGTCTCTGAACGATCAATTTAGAAGGATACGGTAGTTTTTTTAAATCCTACCTTTAAGGAAAAAGCCAGAAAAAGCTATTTATCGAAAATATCTGTAAGAAAAAAAAGATTTCCCAAGTTTCAGGTGGAAATCAACGGGAAAACGCTTTTCGACTCGCGCACTGGCACAAATTTAGCGACAAATAAGGAAACATTGGGTATAATTGTAGTTTCGAGGATTCTTACTCTAATTTTCTTTAGATTACTGTGATGAAACGGGGAAAAGGGATTTCGAGGAGAAGAAAATTGAAGAGAATGGGAAAAATGGGGGAAAATTGAAGCCAAAGAAAGAGGTGAAAGTGAAGGAGTTCGTCTTGCAAACGGGCCATCGATCCGATGAAATGAGAAGTGAGTTTTAAAGCTTTTAAAGCTAGAAAGAAAATGGTAAAGCTTTTGGGTTGGAGAAATGCTTAAAAAAATCATCAAATCACATTTTTTCTAAGCGTTTACAAACGAAAAACCAAGTATTTAGTGAGATTTTCTTTGAAAAATGAAGTATATAGTGATCTTCTTTGAATTGATTGAAGAATGCAGAACCAATTCCAACTGAGCATCCTCCCTAACGTTCGCGTTTTCCACGCAATCTAAATTCTGCCCCTTTTTTGCCAATGGCTGCGCACAGACGGACAGACAGACGGACGGACGGACAGACAGACGGACAGACAGACGGACAGACAGACGGACGAAAGGGGAGGCCCCTCAGACCCTTTGCATAACTTGGGTAATCAAACCGGAAATGCAAAAGGGAACAGCTATCTAGCGAGAGCGTGTGCCAGAAGGCGAGCGATTACGCCAGCACACAAAAAACCCCTCGCTCATCACTACAGCATTTTTCTTTTGCTTTGTAAATGGCTTCCAAATGAGATGCAGAGCTGAAAATTTGTATCTAAGGGTTTTCAAGGCCAAAGAATCGATTGGCAGGATTTATTTCAAACTTTAATTGGCTAAAAGTCTTTAAATTCGATCTTTTGAAAACCATTGAACGGAAAGGTTTTTGGCTTCTATTTAAAAAGGCTTTTGGCATCTATTTATCTTCTTCTATTTATTTTCTATTCGAAAAACCTTTCTGCTATTTTCACATTCTTTAAACATTTCTAATTCTCATTAAATTCGAAAAAAAGGGAACTCTTTTAGAAGATAATGGGTTTTTGGGAGGGATGAACAGGTTCCCTGAAAACTCATTTGATCGAATCCGAAAAAAAAGCGCGTTCAAATTGACTTTGAAAAATAGAGAAAAAAATTCTGAAATTCTCTTTTTAAATAGGATTTTCTTTTGGTTTATTTTCGGGAAAATTTGCATTTTTCTCTAAATCTCTCAACATTTTTTGAGAAAAAAAAAATCGAGAAACGCCTCTTTTCTGAATTTGATTTTGAACAAATTTCGAAAATTTCGGCTTTTTTTTTTTTGAGATTCGATTACTGTATTCTATTATTTAAATAGCTATTTTATTTGATTTGGGATTACGGTATCGATCGGTTCTTTAAAAGAAACTCTTTGCCTTGAGTATTGTAAACGATTTGTTATTTAAAGAGCTACCGTATTCTTGTCGGCTTTGGATTACTGTAGCTATTCTTCTGGACTATTGTAGCTATTCTTCTGGATTACTGTAGCTATTCTTCTGGACTATTGTAGCTATTCTTCTGGATTACTGTAGCTATTCTTCTGGATTACTGTAGCTATTCTTCTGGATTACTGTAGCTATTCTTCTGGACTATTGTAGCTATTATTCTGGATTACTGTAGCTATTCTTCTGGACTACTATAGCTATTCTTCTGGACTACTATAGCTATTGTTCAAGCCACCGTACTCTAACAGCTACTAAAAAGCTACTGTATCCTTGGAATTCTAACTAATATCTCTGGAACTGGACTACTGTAGCTGGATGACTGTAAACTATAGCTAATACTTATTCGATTACCGTATCCCCTGCCCAATCTCTTCCTCAACCCATTCCACAGTATGCTCACCCTCCGCATTTCCACATTTTTCTATTTCGTCACCGGTTTACCCTTTGATTACTACGGTATTCTCTTAGACAGCACATTCGTCAGACTCAACTTGACGGGTACTAAAAGAAAATTTGTAAATCCACAATTTCACAAAGAATAGACCCTTTAAAATACTAAAAACTTGAAATTTTCGAAGAATAGACATCTTCAAATAACAGTAATCTCTAGAAAATTCAGCTAGAAGATCATAAAATTCTCAAAATTCATCTAATCTCCAATTTCCCTAGGGAAACCTCACGTTGAGCCATTCATCCATCCAGCGCCTCTAAACAAGATCACCGAAAAGGTGAGTTTTGAGATTCGAATTGATTTTCGAGCTATTAAAGCCATTGATAATGTTTCAGTTTGTACCGAAAGTGAAGAAAACCCTAGCGCCAATCAAAAGTGAAACGATTGAGACGGTTTTGTTGAAGAAAGAGATTCTATCGAAAGAGATTTCCGGCAACGGTTTGTGTTAAGAGAAAGCCTAACAAATTACCGGTAGTTACTATGTTTATAGCTAAAGTAGTTACTAGAAATGGGCAAATTCCGTCGCAAACCTAATTCCATCTTCGTTTTCTTGGTTGCTCTTTGATCGATTGAGCTGAAATTTTGTCTACAAGCAGTTAATTTCGAGCTCTACTTGTAGACAAGATTTCAGAGGAATCGGTCAAAGAACGGCCAAGAAAACGAAGGTGGAATTAGGTTTGGGACGGAATTTGCCTATTTCTAGTAGTTACAGCGTTTGTAGTTACAGTAGTTAGTTCATTTGTAGTTACAGTAGTTAGGTAGTTAGTTTCCTTGTAGCTACAGTAGTTAGTTCCCTTATAGCTACAGTAGTTAGTTCATTTGTAGTTACATTAGTTACCAGATTTGTTAAAATTTCTATTACAAACCAAAAACCCGCTTCATGGGGCTTTTTTCTGGAGGAGGTTTTTGTGTCGACGTGGCGCAGTCAGCAGAGCGCTCGTCGACAACCCGCACGGTCCGGGTTCGACTCCCCCCAGTCCCACTCACTTTTGAATTCTTTATTTTAAATGACAAAACTATATTTAATTTTGAGATTTCTTAAGAAAAATTCAGTTTTAGCCTAAAGACGGTTGAGAAAAAGCCCTTACAGACGGTCGGACAATGCTATTTTATATACTAGACAGTGACAGTACGACTTGAAACCTAAACACTAAACAATTTCTGTAGTTAAATGATTACTACTGCTATTACAAAGCCTGGCTGCTCTAATTTCACTATTCTAGCAGGATTACTGTAGCTAGACTCATAATCTGTTGTATTTTTTGACTTTTTACAGTAAAAAGTCCTGTAATTTAGGTTTTCTTTAGAGGAAAACGTTGAGATTTCTCTAAAAAGGTTCACTAAAACGTGGAAAACTTTATTTAATAATAATACTTTATTCAAACGATAAAGTGAAAGAAATGATAGAGAAATGCACAGTGATACTTAATCATACAATACATACTGAAATCAATAAGCCAATTACTTCCGGCAAAGAGCCACTAGATCTAAAGCATCGATACGTTTCTTGAATATGAAAAGCGACTGAATTTCTCGTATGTCGTTTGGGAGCAAGTTCCATAATTAAAAGAAGATTTTAATCTTTAGAGAGCTTTAGAGACCTTTAGAGATCAATATAGATCTTTTGATATCTTTAGAACTCTTTAGAGATATCTTTAGATATCTTTAGAACTCTTTAGAACACTTTAGAGATCTTTTGATATCTTTAGAACTCTTTAGAACTCTTTAAAGCATTCAATAAAAAGAAAACTTTGAAAAACTTGAGACATTTATTTCTGAAATTCGAATTGAAATTCCATTTTAGAAACACTGAAAACGTTTTTTTTTGAAATGAATGAAACAATGGGCTAATCCAGAAACGATTTCCACTCATTTAAGTCATTTTTTTTTTCTTTAAAATCTTTTCTATCCTAAATCTTTTCTAAATCTTTTCTAAAGCTCTAACGGGAAATGAATTTGATAAAGAGGCATTGGAAGCAAAGGGAATTTGCAAAAGGAATGAGCCACTTCTGGGCCCTGACCGCGGTTTAAATTTGAAAAAGTCTATAAACAAAGGGCTAATCTGTTTACAACGGAGGATTTTGAAAGTTTCGACTAAATCAATGACAAAGCGACGATGCTGTAAAGTTTTTAGTTCAAAAAAAAGGGATTACTGTAAAGAGATTTATTTTAAAAAATCGCAGGGATTACTGTAAAGAGATCGACGATTTAAAAAGTTTATTCAAGGCATTTTTGGTAATAAGGATTTGTAATAAGGCTTACTATTTACTAATTAATTTATTTACTAATAATCTTTTTCTAAAATCGAATTTTTAATCTCAAATTTTCTTTTCTTATTTCTATTCGATTTTCTGCTTAAATTTTCAGAAATTCGCGTATTTTCAGAAAAGAAAAAGAAAGAAATCTCGTTGGAATTGCAAAGAAATTCGATTCCGAAACACATTTAGAGAAAAAAAGAAAAGAAAAATGAAGAGAAAAGAAAAAGAAGATGAAGAAAAATGAAGAAAATAAAATAAAGAAAATAAAGAAAAAAAAAAAAAAAAGAGTTTCTTCTGATCTAAACGATCTTCTGAGTGAGAAAATTTAAGAAATTCTAGTGTACTTTGTGCTCAAATACGTAAAAACATCTTTTCTGGTGCAGTAATGTTTTTCTAATCTAATCAATTTTCAGCTTCATCTCTCAAATCGATGAGAATCGTCGAGTTTTCCGGCGATTCGCGTGTCACTTTGGGCGTTCCCGATGACATCGAGGACTATCTCGAGATCGTTTTTCACTTTAAACCATCAAAAAATCAGGTATCAAAATGTTTATCCACAGTTAGATCAATTACAATTATTGCAATTCGATTAATAAACAATTGATCAATTTGCAAAACGATTAATAAACATTTAGTCTTATAATAGATATGCTAATTTACAATTTCAATCAAAAACAATCCAAACAAGTAAGGCTATGGGTATCCGAATTAAACCAATCCGAGCTGTGTTTCCAGCGCCTTCTATCCGGTCAGTGTGCCAGACGCCACTTTTCCCCTACGAGCAACAGAGAAAGAACACACCAATTCCTTTTAGCTTCTAGCTGTGCGTTTCTCTCCCTGTCGCTCTCAGGAAAAAGCGCCGTCTGGCACACTGCCCAGGTAGAAGGCGCCGGAAACACAGCTCGAATCGGTTTAATTACCCAAGTCTGGTTGCCAAAAAGGCGACCGGTTGTGGGAGAGAATAAAGAAGAATTTTGCCTATCCAGGGAATCCTCTTCGCTTGGTCGGATGCAAAACGATATTTGGTGTTGACGTTGGAAAGCGGTTTCGTCAATGTGCACGCATCGATGGGTTTCGATGCGATCACGTTGAGGTAAACATTGAAAAATCGAATAAAATATCTAGAAAGTACAATGGGCAACACAGTAGGCAATAATAAAAGTATTCAGTCGACAAGGCTGAGCATCATAATCAGTTTAACCCAAAATTCATACCATGTATCGCCCTTCAAAGAGCAAAAAGATATTCAGCTTTCAGCCGGCTGAATACTTATTTCCCAAATACGATGGATTTTACGAATATTTTCTATAGTATTCCAAATTTTCAGATCAGAAAGTGTTCTCTCGTTGCACACATGGCACAAGGCTGAGGTCTGGCGATCGGGAAAAGGAATCTTGCTGAAGGTGAGCTCATTGAAAACTAAAAAAAAAGAAAGAAAATTCAGCTACCGTATGCTGAAATGAAATTTTCTAGGTTGATAAGCAATCTTGGATCGAATCCGAGTTGCATTCGGTGAGATCAGTGGGTGAGAGCTCGAGAGGTGGAGTGGCCACAGTGGGCGGATCCAATGAGGCAACGCCCGGTCATCTATTACCGATTCACGGTTTTCACGGATGCATGAAAAGGGTAAATTGAAATGTTTTAACAAAAGAAAGAATATAAAATAATAATAAAAGTAATAAAAGCATAAAAAGCAATAAAAAATATAATAGAGAATAATCGAATACAAAATAATATTATAAAAGAATAAAAGAATAAAAGAAGCGCACGGCAATGTAAACTTGGGTAATTGAACCGACCAACAGCGTTTCCCTCGGCCCCTATCCAGGGACAGTGTACCAGACGCCGCTTTTTCTTACGAGCGACAGGGAAAGAACGCACAGCGCTGCCTTCCCTTTGTGCGTTCTCTCCCTGTCGCTCGTAAGAAAAAGCGGTGTCTGGCACACGGCGCAGATAGAGGTTGCTGGAAACCTCTATCTGCTTGCTTTCTCCGGCGGTTTAATTACCAGAGATGCCAGAAAGCGCACGTTTACAGGAAACCACAAAGTTCGATAACTCAATAAAATATCCTTTCATCGTTTTAGGTGGTCCTTAACGGTCACCACATTCATTTGGCCAGCCAACCCTCCGTCGGGCTACGGTAATTGACTTTAAAGCTTTAAAAACCTATTTTCTATAATCTAAAGTATTTTTGCAGTGAATGCGGCTCAGATCCATGTGCATCAAGTGGATGTCCGAGCGGATGCGCGTCAAGATATGACTCGTTCGTTTGTCTCTGTCATTGGCCAACCTATGGAGTAAAGTGTGCACAAAGTGGGTGATTAAATTATTAAGGATACACTACTGGACAATGAAATATCATATTTGAAAAACACTTTCGCACTTTCGCGCGTCTGTAACTCCCTTATCTTTACCGTATTTCTAAATATTAATATTACCATTGTGTAGCGTTTGAAAAGAGCTTTCAGAAAATGTATAACACTAATAGTTTAAACTCAAAGACAAGGGAGTTGCAGTTACGCGCGAAAGTGACGATCGTTTTTCAAATATCATATTTCATTGTCCAGTACTGTAGCTATCTTTTTTGAAAACTCGACGTTTAAATGTAAATTTGTACAGAGACGGAGAACTCGATCGAGGCGATGAATTTTGGCGGGCATTCATTTCTCGAATTTCACGCCGATGACTACATGCAACAGTGAGTCAAAGAAAATTTCAAAGTGAAGATTTAAAACTTTTAGTGTCACTGGTGATCAGCTGAGATTAGTGCTCGAGTTCAAGCTTACGAATCGAAGCAATCAAGGAGAAGAGAGTCAAGATCAGGTCGATTAATTTCATTTTTTTCGACAATAGACAATAATCTAGTATCGAAATTTGAAAAATATTAAGGAATTTTCAATTTTCTTTAATCAAATCTCATTTAGATTCTCGTTTTTGCTGGCTCCGAAGAGGAATCGAGCGATTTCTTGAAATTGTTGATCACAAAAGAGAGAAAAGTAAAATTTGAGATCAATCTTGGATCGGGAGTCGCCGAATTGATCCATTCGACGACGATTGGCTTTGAGAGATGGACAACTGTGCAAGTGTTCAGGTGAAGAGATGGCAAAAAGTAGAAAAACAGTTTTTTATGGTTTCCCAAGCTAACCTTTTGGCAAGACTTGGGTAATTAAACCGGCCGAGGGGTGTTTTCGGACAATGCTCTATCTGCGCCGTGTGCCAGACGTCGCTTTTTCTTACGAGCGACAGGGAGAGAACGCACAAAGGGAAGGCGGCCCTGTTCGTTCTTTCCCTGTCGCTTGTAAGAAAAAGCGGCATCTGGTACACTGTCCCTGCATAGGGGCCGCGATAAACGCCGCGGGTCGGTTTAATTACCCAAGTTTGCGAGGGTGCATTAACCGGGAAGGGACGCACAGTGCACAGTGATTGGAAAAGAACGCCTGCTAAAACCTGTCAACTTTGAGAGACTACCGTAATCCTGGCTCCAGATTGGAATGGGGAACGCTGTCGTAATCCAGACTTTTGATCAATTCGATAGAATAGAAGATTACGGTAGTTTTTGAAAGTTGACGCGTTTTAGAGAAGTTATTAGGTGCATTCCTGGTTCGTCAATTTTGTTTCGTATTTGTTCTTATTCTGGTCTCATATTGATATCAAATTATCAAAAACCTCTCTAGTTTTAGCTCTAAACAATCTCAAGACCAAATACTAAATTTTCAACAAAGCCAAGCTTTTAGAGAGCGTCGCAAATTGCATCTTTCCGTGAACAGCGAGTCGACAGTGACTACGATCACTCCAGGCACTTCTGAGCAGCTAAACGTCTACAAATCGTTGTACATTGGTCAGTTTCGTACATCATCTCAAAATCAAGCTAAAAAGAACAATAAAAGCAATATGCTATGCAAATGCAAATGCTAAAATATGCAAATTTTACAGGCGGATACGAGTCGGATGCGATGCACGCCGAGGGGCTTTATGGATGCATCCGGATGGCACAGGTCAGCAATTTTTGGCATAAAATAATCGATTTCTACGATCTACAGTACCCTTAGATCACTGTATTTCTTTTAGATTGGTACCCGACTTGTTCGCCAACCATCAGACGCCTCAATTGCTGTGAATATCCGTGATTGTCCTGTGTAGTTTGCATTTTGTTGTGAATTTTCTCGAAAATCTTTCCAAAACTTCAATGAAACGTGTAATAAACATTTAGTTTTATAAAAAAATATATGTAAATTTAGATAGATTCTTACAAATTACAAATTATAAATGCAAATTACATCAAAAAGAATCTAAACAAGTGAAACACGAATAATTTGTGGGAAAATTGTGGGAATTGGAAAAAATTGGTGTTGAATAGAGGAAAACAATGAAAGGTTCGAATAATTCTAGAGAAATATTCAATTGAATTCAACTGAATTAGATGCATATTAAGTTTTGCAAAAGCTTGGGTAATTAAACCGGCCGGGTCGAGTTTCCAGCCGGGTTGTAGCAGCCCTGTGTGCCAGACCCCGCTTTTTCTTACGAGCAAGGAGAGAAAGCACAAAGACCTCAAAGACTAGTTTCTGTGCGTTCTTTCCCTGTCGCTCGCAAGAAAAAGCGGCGTCTGGCACCCTGCCCGGATAGAAGTGACCAGGAAGCCTTTTCAGGCGGTTTAATTACCCAAGTCTGTTGCCCAAGTTTAGTTTGTCAGAAGCCGCGCCATCGTGGAAAAGCACAAAGAAAACTGTTAAAGATCCGTTATGAAGAATCAATGAAGAGCTCTGTGCGTTCTTTCCCTGTCGCTCATAAGAAAAAGCGACCTTTGGCACACGGTCCGGATAGAAGCCGCCGGAAACGCTCCCTCGGCGGGTTTAATTTAATAATTAATAATTTGTGGGAAAATTGTGGGAATTGGAAAAAATTGGTGTTGAATAGAGGAAAACAATGAAAGAACAAAACAATGAACAAAAAAAACAACAATAATTCTAGAGAAATATTCAATTGAATTTAACTGAATTAGATGCATATTAAGTTTTACAAAAACTTGGGTAATTAAACCGGCCGAGTCGAGTTTCCAGCCTCCTTGCAGCAGCCCAGTGTGCCAGACGCCGCTTTTTCTTACGAGCGACAAGGAGAGAACGCACAAAGACCTCCAATAGTTTCTGTGCGTTCTTTCCTTGTCGCTCGTAAGAAAAAGCGGCCTTTGGCACACGGTCCGGTTAGAACTGACCGGAAGGCCGTTTCAGGCGGTTTAATTACCCAAGTTTAATTTACCAGAAGCCGCGCGGAAAAGCAAAGAAAACTGTAAAAGGTCCATTATAAAGACTCAATGAAGAGCTCGGTGCGTTCTTTCCCTGTCGCTCGTAGGAAAAAGCGGCCTTTGGCACACGGTCCGGATAGAAGCCACCGGAAACGCTCCCTCGGTGGGTTTAATTACCCAAGGGTGCCAAAAAAACGCTGTTTTTGCTTCGATTACTTTCCAAACAGTTCATTTTACGTTTATTTGTTTATTTGACGAATTATGTACAAAGATTTCAATTTCAATTTGATCTCGACCTAATTCGGACGTCGACCGACAGGGGAGAGATCGTGATTGCACCGCGGAGATCGAGGGTTTCCTAAAAATGACAAGTTTTGGATGAAGTTGAAGAAGTCAGACACTAGAAGCAAAATTTAGCAAACCTGTGGTTTTTCCGCATGCACCAGCTCGTATTTTCTCAAGAGTTGCGCTAAAGCCATTTTTTCTTCAGTGTACGCGAGGCGGTTACCTAGAAGAGAAAAGGGATTAGAATATCGGGTTTAAATTAGAAAAGAAGAACTAGATAAAGCTTCTTTCAAAAGTAATTTTCAAGGGCAATGCAAGAGCAGAAGATAGGGTTGATCTGACCAGCGTAGACCTGGCTTCTGGCCTTGTTTTGTCTTACCTTGTCTTCCCTGGCCTCTCTAGATCTAGATCTATCTCTAGATCAGATCTAGATCAATCTCTAGGTCTAGATCTATCTAGATCTATCTCTAGATCTATCTCTACCTCAAATTCCTTTCAAAACCCACCAACACACATCCTTGGCCCTCCACCAAACGGCAAATATGCTTGGTGTTGTTCTTTAGTAGCATTCATCCATCTAAGAATTATTGAATTATCATTGGATCATTGGACAACAATTTTATAAACCCCATCTGTGCCAGAAAGCTTGCCTTTCCATGAGCACAAAGTACACTTCTATTTAGCAGTTTGCCAAACGCATCAATGCCTTTAAATCAAGCTATGCCAGCAAGTATGCGTTTCAGAAAAGCATAAAGTCCAAGCCAAATCATTCACCTTTCCGGCACAAAATCCTCAGCATCCTCTCCCCAGATCTCTTTCGATTTTTGTAGAGTGTAGGCATCGACCTAGAATTTGTAAGTTCAAATATGCAAATTTGATTATTGATATTTGATATTTACCTGAATAATCGTACCCTTCTCGATTTGTGCACCGGCAAACTCGCAATCTCTTTCAGCCACACGAGAAACAGCGCTGAAATTTGGGTATTCGGTAGAATATACTAAAGAAATATCTTCAGAAAGCCTCAAAAACTTATCAAAACGAAAAAACATCAAAGGTGACTTTTTGTCAGCAAATTTCTCTTTTAATCTGGCCGACAATACGTTTCAATTTCAAAGTTTTGTTATGGCCTTTGTTTTGGTTTTGATTTCGTTATGGCCTTTGTTCTGGTTCTGGTTTTGGTTTTGATATGGCCTTTCTTCTGGTTTTGCTTTTCATACCCCAAGCCTGATATCTTGTTTTAGATCTTGACTTACATAGTTGCCAGTGGATGCAACCGAAGTCCCTCTTTTGTCACGCAATCCATATACTTGAGCTCATTTAGCTGCTCGTAGGTAATCTCCTGGAAAACCATTGAAATAATGCAGCTTTTGAAAGGCTACATTCAAGGCTAGCTTCATTTCTCAAACTTTGTGCACTTTGTACTCGATTTTCTAAACGCACCCTTTCTCGCACATCATTTAATTCATTGTTCTAGTGACAGAAAGTCGTTGCCGGAAGAAAAGTGGGAAATTCAATGGAATAGAAAGAAAGCCTTTACAAATTTAGCACAAAGTACACTAAGAAACTCTTTTTTTCTTTCATTTTTAATGCTTTTAATTCTAATAACCTCCGTAGTACAGATTTGATCGATTTCCTCCCGCAGTCGATCCTGCACATCTTTATTTTTCGTCAAAAAGTGAGAGACGTAAGCTAGTGTGTTGGCTGTTGTGTCAAAGCCAGCAATAAGAAAGACAAAGCATTGAGCGATCACCTCGTCCGTGGTTAGCTTTCGGTTCACCTGTAAAATAGAGAAACAGTTCTGAGTGTTACATGATCGCACCCTTTCTGGTAACTTGGGTAATTAAACCGGTCAAGCGGCTTTTTCCTTTGAGTTCTATCCGGCCAGTGTGCCAGACGCCGCTTTTTCTTACGAGCGACAGGGAAAGAACGCACCGCTAGAAGATAAAAGGAACCTGTGCGTTCTCTCCCTGTCGCTCGTAAGAAAAAACGTCGTCTGGCACACTGGCCGGATAGAACCCGCAGAGCAAAGCTGCTTGGCCGGTTTAATTACCCAAGTTGCCAGACGCCGCTTTTTCTTACGAGCGACAGGGAGAGAACGCACGGCTAGAAGCTAGAAGCTAAAAAAACCTGTGCGTTCTTTCCCTGTCGCTCGTAAGAAAAAACGTCGTCTGGCACACTGGCCGGATAGAAGTCGAAGGGAAAAGCCGCCTAGCCGGTTTAATTACCCAAGTTGCTTTAATTTCCCATAGCCTCACTTGTTGGTTTTTGATTGAAACGGTAAATTTGCATATAGAGATATTCATCTAGTTGCAAACCAAACAAGAATCAGTGCACCAGATAGAATGTGTTTCTATTTTTCTAAGCACAAAGTCGCCGCTTACATGAACATCTTTTCGGTCAAAAGCTCCCTCAGTTTTATGATCAATTTCCGCTTCTGCATCCAAAAAGAGATCGATGAAGTCATCATTTGTCACGATTCCTTCATTCTAAAGTTGATTTTTGATGAAATTCTTCAATTTCTAGTAGCTATAGATCTCTAGATTTAGACATTTCTAGATTTAGATCGATTTTTTTCAAAAAACCCAACCCTCAATCTCTTTCTCTCCTCAACAGCCATCTCGATTTGTTGAAAGAGTCGACTTGCGGGCATTTTCAACACATTCGACAACCATTTAAAAGTTGGAGTTAGAATCTGAAAAGTTTCTATTCAAATATTCAAAGAAAACACTGAATTTCTATTTCTATTCAAATAAAACACTAAATTTCGCATTTGCGCTATCTAAAATTGCGAAATTGGATAGAAATTTGGTTTTCTTAGAGGAAACAAACAAACAAACCGATTTCATGAAAGGCATCATACAAGCCAACAAGAAAAATGGTTCACGAAGATTTCGATCAAAAATCTAAAGAAATTTACATGATTTATTTACGTGATTTATATAGAATTGTTTAAAATCCAGATAAAAATCGAATTTCTTAAATTCGAGCTAAAGAAATTCGATTTTAAATTAAATTAAGTGGATTTTAAACAATTAGATTTGATAGATTTGGTTTAAATAGGTTTCAGATTGCTTTCAGATTGCTCAGAAAGATCAAATTGCTCAAACATTTGCATCCTTAACACATTCACAATGATAAAGCTCAACGATTTTGTCTTTTATCCCTTTTATCCCTAAAAACTGTCTGCCAGAAGCCGTGCGGTTATGTAAACATGAAAATTTGACTTTTTTTTACTTCTGTACATGCTTTTAAAGCCGATTAAAGCCGATTAAAGCTGATTGATTTGAAAATTTGTAAACAAGGGCTTTTGAGGATGAAGAATTCGAATTTATCATTAGTTTTTAAACTCTATTTTTAGAAATTTTATTTGGTTTTATTGCGAATTAACAAAAGTTTCATTTTTATGTAAACGCACGGCTTTTGGCACACGTTTTCTAGAGATAAAGGACAAAAATCAATCGTTTTTTCCCTTTTACTTTCCGATTTCGTTTATTTACTCAGATTTTAAAGTTTTATGAGAATTGCTTTATTTAGTTATTTAATTGAGAAGCTATTTTATCGTAGTACAGTAAAGGAAAAGTACAGTACGCTGATTGAGCTTTAAATTAGCTTTTGATTTGCTTTTATTAGCTTTATTTGCTTTTATTAACTTTTATTTGATTTTACTAGCTTTTATTAGCTTTAATTGGCTTTAATTGGCTTTAATTAGCTTTTATTTGATTTTGATTTGCTTTAATTAGCTTTAATTAGCTTTAATTAGCTTTTATTTGCTTTTCAATAGTTCTTACCGCTCTCAAAATCTCTGGATATTCGCTGTCCCATTGTCGACTTTCTTTAACACCCATTGCCACTCGAGCAATCACATCCATTGTATACTCTTGATAATAACTAAAAATGGTTTTATAGATTGATTTGCTTAAAACATATTTAACAAGAAACTTAAAAAATGAGTTTATTTTTTTTAAAAACTCCAAATTTGTTTTCAGATTTGTTTTTTTGATTTATTCTGTCAGAAGTTTAATGTTTTAAGATTGATTTAAGATAGTGATATAGGATATTGATATAACATATTGATATAACATATTGATATAACATATTGATATAACATATTGATATAAGATATTCCTACAAGATAATCCTACAAGATAATCCTACAAGATATTCCTCCAAGATATTGCTCTAAGATATTGCTCTAAGATATTGATATAAGATATTGCTACAAGATATTCCTACAAGATATTCCTACAAGATATTCCTACAAGATAATCCTACAAGATATTCCTCCAAGATATTGCTCTAAGATATTGCTATAAGCTATTGCTCTACGTCATTCCTCCAAGATATTCCTATAATCTATTCCTACAAGATTATAAATCGTATTTCTAGAATCTTTTGAGTTTCCAAACTCACCGATGAATGTTAATGTGCTCATTTTTGTTTAAATTTTTTCCAATATGTGCAGTGAGATGACGCGATGAGTCGTTGATGATCGGGAGGATCTGGAAAGAACAAATACCATTAAAAAGAACTCTAATAGACGGTCATTCTCCAATAGATGGCCCCTAAAAAAAACAGAACCCCTTGATCCCTCGAAATCTTGACTTTTTAAGACATTTTCTTTAGCTAAAGTTGTAGATTCACTTTTAAACGTGTTTTCTATGTTTTAGACTAAGAACTATCGTTTAAAAGAGTTTTTCAAATCTTTTTTGATTCATTTGGGAGATCCTTATCGATTTTTTCGGGTAATCTATTTTTAGGGGATGACCATCACCTTCTAGAACCTTCTAAAACCTTCTAGAACCTTCTAGAATCTTCTAAAACCTTCTAGAACCTTCTAGAACCTTCTAGAACCTTCTAAAACCTTCTAAAACCTTCTAGAACCTTCTAGAACCTTCTAAAACCTTCTAGAACCTTCTAGAAACTTCTATAATCTTCTAGAAACTTCTATAATCTTCTAGAAACTTATCTACATTATCTAAATCTAATTTCTAGACTATTCTTATTTAAATGAAATCTGTCCCAATCAAGATTAAATCAATCCTAAACCGGAACAAAAATGAGGGCAAAATTTAAGTACTAGTTTACTAATTTCTTTGATTTTTCAATAATTGAATGCTTCAATTCTCTGATTTATCCCAGAAAATTCTCTGCTTTCAATCTTTTTCCTTGATCATTAAACAGAAAACCAAAAAAAACTGACCCTTTTGAGTGAATTATTTGAGAATTGTGGAGTCACAATTGTTCTCAAACGTTTCCATCTAAAAAAACCAATATTAGAGATCAATTTTGATTATAAATTTTCATTTTAATTAAGAAAATGAGCTTTTAAGAAAATGAGCTTTAATTTGTGAACCTTTGTCCCCATGCTTCAGCCAGATGAACTCGAGCCGCATCAGGATTGGATTTAAGGAGGTGATTGCCCTAGAAAAATGAAATTTTCATGATTCTAAGATCTTAGAAACATTTAAAAGCTTGAATTTTAGTTAATATTCGAAATTGAGGCCAATATTGAGGCCAAAATTGAGCCAAAAATTGAGCTGAAAGGTCGAAATTGCTTCAGCACGTTTAGCACAAAACGAAAACAAACTTTTCTTTGCTGAAAGTCCTCGAATCTTTTGTGCAATAGCTCTTGTGTCAACTCCAAATCAGCAACCACCATCACCGGGTATAAACCCTCTTGATAGCCCCAAATTTTGCCGAATTTCTGAAAGTTTTCAGTGTAAAGATGTGCAATCGTGATAGTTACGGGATTTCAGGCTCTTTTTGCTGATTATGAGTCAAAATAAACCCCGCCAATCGATTCTTCGGCCTTGAAAACCCTAGAATACAAATTTTCAGCTTTAAATCTCATTTGAGAGCCATTTACAAAGCAAAAGAAAAATGCTGTATGATGGGTGAAGGGTTCTTTGTGTGCGGGCGTAATCGCTCGCCTTTTGGCCCACGCTCTCACTAGATAGGTGCTCCCTTTTGGACTTTCGGTTTAATTACCCAAGTTATGAAAAACTCTTCTTTCCTTTTCGAATCGCTACTGCATTACCGTGTTTGTTTATTCTGATTTTAAACCTACCGTAAATACTGTAATGGTACCCGACCACAATAATGGCGGTGCGGAGTGTTGCGTAGTCTAGCTTTGAACGAGTTTTTCTCGACACGGGTTTATGCTACAATGCGCGCTTAGGTATCAAAAAATAGCTGAAATTCAGGGCTATTTTTTGAAAGTACGGTCGCTTTGAAAAAAATGAAATACTAAAAAACTTTTGCGACTACGCGACTGTACGACGGCGGTGGGGTACTATTACAGTATTTACGGTAGTCAACTATTTAACAGACTAACAACAGTACAGTACGCAGCAGGATTATTGTTCAAAATAGACAGGTGCTGGGTCGCCAAATGCAAACGGCTTTTCTTTTCGAAATCTGAATCACATTTTATTAGAAAACAAAAGTCCTTTGCTAGAATGCATTTGGCGATCCGAATCTTTAGTTCAAACTAATAGCTTTGAACGAGTTTATTTTTACAGTATTTACGGTATGTTTTATATAAATACAAGATGTTATTTAATTATAAAATAATCTCAATTTTGTCATATTTTTGATTTTTGTCATTCAATTTTGTCAATAATGTCAATAATGTCAATTTCCGAGTTCTTGAACTCGGAAATTGACATTTTTCCTTTTTTCCTTTCTTTTCTTCTTTCTTCTTTCTTCTTTCTTCTTTTTCCCTTCTTTTCTTCTTTCTTCTTTTTCCTTTCTTTTTCCCAATCACAATCATTCACAATCTTTTTCTATAAACGAAGTGATTGATCGGTGGATTATTTTTTCGCGTTTTTGGAGAGAACTGAACCCGATTGACATAGAAAAAAGAAAAAAGACCGATTTTTTTTCTATTTTTGTCAATTTTTGGCGATTTTTGGTTAAAATGAAAAGAAAGAACGACTTTTTTTTTCCTTTATTCCTTAAATTTTCAGATATCTAAAATTGAAACTTGAAATCTTTAAAATATGACAAATTTTGAGGTAAATTGTAGTTTTCTTAAATGAATTTGCACAAACCTTTGTGAATTCCGGTAAACGAGCCATCCACGGTCGATTTCGATCGGTTAACTCGAAGAAATTGCCCAATCCAATGATGAATGATGGCCCAGTGACGCCACGATTACGCCAATAGTTCGCTCTTTGGAAAGCCCATCTGAAAGTGGTGCTACAGTAATCTGAGCTACAGTACCCTGGCTACAGTAACCTACAGTACCCTAGCTACAGTAACCTACAGTAACATAGAGCATTAGCTACAGTAACCCAGGCTTCAGTAGCCCTAAACTACAGCAATCCTAAGTACGAAAACTTGGCTACAGTAAACGCTGGTTATAGTATAGTGCTAGCAATAAGTACAGGAATAGTTAGCTATAGTTATAGCTTATACCTAGCTACAGTACCAGTACAGTAATCCAAAACAACAAGAACCCTAGCTAAAGTAACCTTAACCATAGTACAACTAGGAAATTAAGTTACAGTAATCCTAGGCCATCAAACTTTAGTAAAAGTACAGTAAAGCTGGCTAGTGGTCAAACTGTAGTACTGTGGCTACAGTAAGCCTGATTACAGTAACCTATTACTACCTATTAGTACCTATTACTACCGTAGCCCAAGCCACAGAATTTCCATTTAACTTTAATTTTCCCAAATCCTCAACTCACATCAAGTAAATCGTGAGTGCCGCGGAAATTGTGGCGAAAAAAATCATCCACAGCATATTTGAAATTTCCGAATTTCAAGTTGTAGCTAAAATTTGAAAGAGTTTTTTGAGATTTAAAGATTTGAGAATTGTTCAATTTTCGCATTGTATTTATACATCAAAAAGCGTTTCGTGATTTGTGTTTCAGAGATCTTTCCGTTGAATTGAAAAGAAAGAAAAAGAAAAGAAAAGAAAAGAAAAGAAAAGAAAAATCTTACCCTAAAGATAACCCTTTCCCTTCACAAATCATAACAAATTTTTTCCTGCACAAAATACCACAAAATAGACACAACTTTTTGAAATGATCACAAAACAGAGGTCAGAGAAAGATTGGGAACTGAGAATTGAGAACTGAGAAAACAATGATGTGTGTAGAGATTTGTTTGCTCGTTGTAGCTTAGAGCCTGTAGGTATACAGCCTGTAGCTGTGGGGGTACAGGCTGTAGGGGTACAGGCTCATGGAAATTAGTACTGAAATAGCACAGGATCCGTAGGTGTCTGTAGGGGAGGTTGTAGCTGTAGCGTTTCCTTGAGTCATCCACTTTTTAAGCACTTCAATTGTCTTTACATTTACTCTCAACTCCTTTGATTCTTTAAAAAAAGTTTAGATAAATGTTTAAAGCCTTTTCCTAACAAATTCCTAACAAAAAAAACCCAACCATTATACTAAAGACGATCATTTTTTGTCTCAACTCAAGTTTTTTAGGCTTTTTGATATTGATTTTATAGAAAGTTCTCGGCAACTTTCTAATAGTCTTCAAGAAAATATTCAGGGCTATCGAATCACTAAATTAACTTTCAGCTAAAGCAGCTAGCGAGGAGGCGCAATTTACCCGCGCTCGATCATTGGTGATCGTTGGCTCGATCATCGGCGATCGTTGGCTCGATCATCGGTGATCTTCGGCTCGATCATTGGTGATCGCTGGCTCGATCATCGGCGATCGAAACGGTGAGCATGATTTGCAGAACTATAATAAGTCCCATTAATGCAAACTTGACAGACAACTGGACAAGTTAGTGTACTTAGAACATCACTTATATTAGCAGAAGGCGAGGCAGCATCGTGTATGCCAGGCTCAGGTCCAGCTCCCCCAGGTCTGGGCCAGGATCGGAACAGGCCCAGACCCTACCCCGGGTTTGCTAGATCAACATGGATTTAGGGCCAGGTGCTCTCATCAGCTCTGATCAGCTTTGGTCAGCTCTGGTCAGTTCCGGTTACTACTGGGTTTAGCCTGCCGTGGGTTCGACCCGGACCTGATTCTGGTCAGGCTTGGTCTAGGCCAACCTAGCGTGGGATCGACCTGGCGCTGACCCTGGTCTAAGCCAACCTAGCTAGGACTGGCTAGATTAACATCTGGAAAGATCAGCTCTGTTTAGTGCCATAAGAAAGCTATTTTCTAGTCTGCACTTCTAGACTGCATTCCACCTCAACCGAAACCTTTACCGGATGGCGGTTGGACTTGTCATTCACCCAGTCCACCATTGAATCCATTGCCATTGACATTTGAGAGATCATTCAACCAAGACCTCTATGGTTATTCAATCAATAGTTCTAAAGTTACAATATTTGTTACAATTTACAATTTACAATCTTACAATCTTACAATCATAGATCTTTACTGCAAAATATGTTCAATATTTCACTAATCCTTTGCTGGGTCACTGATAAAATGTACATTTTTTAAGGTTCAAAATAAGGAACAAGAGGCTGGGAAAGTCTTATTTCCCAGAATCGAGCACTTTATTGTTGTAGGATTCTGTAAGCTAGTACTTTACTTTACTTTACTTTACAATACAATACAATACAATATTGATTTTTCAGCCAGCTTCAGCCCCTCCACCTCCTCGTTCTCCTCCTTTCCCAGGTATTTGTCGATCACCTCGTTCATGGCCTCGTTCTCCATCGCCCGATTGGATAGCTTAGCTGATTCTAAATAACTTTCAATCAAATAAACGATATTTTACAGTATTCTCTACAGTTTATATCAATTATACAAGCCTTTCCCGTAAATTTAAAGAGCAATTTATAGTGGGAATTGATGAAGAACTAGATCTCATCCCTCTCTTCCTCTCTTCCTAATCCTCGATCGTTAATCCCCAAATTTGGCAACATTAATCGTGTCTCCCAATCTTGTACTATGTAGTTTTTCAGCTAAATATTTATAGACAAATTCAATTATCGGATTAAGTCCATGAAAAATATAATTTGATAATAGAAAACGATTTTCAATTGTTCTTATCTCATTTCAGAATAAATTGAGTTCAAAATTGCTTTTGCCATTATCGTTAAAAGTTTAAATCAAATGTTCTTTATGCTTTCGCACAATCGCACTCTTTCTAGCGACTTGGGTAATCCGATTTGAGCTGTGTTTCCAGCGGCTTCTATCCGGGCAGTGTGCCAGACGCCGTTTTTTCCTACGAGCAACAAGGAAAGAGCGCACAGTTGTCTTTTGAAAGGGGATTCAATTATCGGATTAAGCCCATGAAAAATATAATTTGATAATAGAAAACTATTGTCAATTGTTCTCATCTCATTTCAGACTAAATTGAGTTCAAAATTGCTTTTGCCATTATCGTTAAAAGTTTAAATCAAATGTTCTTTATGAGTTGTGGCTTTAAAAACGGATCAATTCACTGAATAATTTATCGAAATTTCATTTTTTCCATAAAGATTTATCGAAAAGACTTTTCTGAAGGTCAGAAATTCGAAAAATATGAAAATGGCGATGAAAAAAAGCAAAATTTTCAGCTGCTTTTGCAAAATTAGTTTAAAATAACAATGTAAGGCTTATTTGGGGCTTTTTGGTGTGCTCGATGTTCGGTTTTTCATTGAAAATGGTAGATTTGATAGTCAGATTTGTTATTTTTATTGTTTTTCCTAATTTTACTCTTTTCTTCAGTTTCCTCAAATCTTTAGTGTTAGTCTTAACGTCTTTTTGCTCGTCAGGAGGCATGGTTCGTTTGGGTGACTGGCTAAGAGCCTTGTTTCTTAATCGGGAGGTTAGTTAAGAGGTCAAGGGTTCAATCGCGCCTCGATCCTTTTTTGTTTTTTTTGTTGTTTTTGTTGGTTCTTTTTTAGGTTTTTTACATTTATGGTTGTGCTTTTTTGAATAAATTCATCTTCTTTAATTTCCTTTCATTACTCTTTCAGACTTTCAGACTTTTCACTTTAACTATGGACCTGAACAGTAGTTAAATTTTGAATCCTTTATGAAGTGTTGTAGCTGTAAGTAGCTGTAAGTAATCTACGTTTGCTAGTTTGTACACCAAATTGTTAACAAACAAGCAAAATGCCCTTTTAAAGTTGTTGAGCATGATGTAAACTTAAATAAATTCAAAAGAAAAACTTGTGAACTTTCGTAAGAATTCTGAAAATTCTACAAAAAAAGAAATCACATTTAAAAGCTCGTAAAGCTTATTTTCGGCACGTTTCCCTCCTTTTTCTTCTTATTTTTCTTCTTATTTTTTATTATCGTTTTCGTTAACGAGCTAGTGAAAATGAGAAAAGGAAATGGGGAAAATGAAAAATGAAAAATGAAAAATGAAAAAGAAAAAAGTTGACTAAAAAATGGAGATGATGAAATGGGAAATAGAAAGAATCAGATATCAGTTCCTGAATTTGAAAAAAAAAACAAAGAAAGAAGTCAAAAAACAAAGAAAGAGATGTCGAGTTGTCGGGATGTTAGAGATGTCGGGTTGTCGGGGTGGTAGAGATGTCGAGTTGTCGGGATGTTAGAGATGTCGGGTTGTCGAGTTGTCGGGGTGTTAGAGAACAAATCTTGTTTCTTTTCACTTCAAAAACTACCGTAATTCGTCTCGATTTTGTCTAATCTATTTACTTTTTTAAATCTTTCAATATCCCTTCGTCATTCTCACAAATTAAACTAAAAATGTAGCAAAAGAATGGAGCGTTTATTGGAGCAGAAAGTACAGAGATTTCTACCGTAATCCTAGAGAAGATTTCAGGGTGACGGTAGAAGATTTTCTTGTAATTTAGTTTCTAAAATGTTTCCCATTTTCTTCGACTACCGTAATCTGTCTTTTTTTAAAAGAAAATGAAAAAGTAGACAGATTACGGTAGTCAAAGAGATTAATTGCATTTACTTCAAAATTGCTTTACAAAATGGCTTTTAAGATGACTTTATTCAAAAACTATATAGTAAAAAAGAAATGATTTCTTTTTTTTGCTTCAAATCAGTGATTTTACAGGAACTCGCTTCTAATACGTTGAAGGAGTTGAGTCGGGTTGTCGGGGTGGTAGAGATGTCGGGTTGTCGGGGTGGTAGAGATGTCGAGTTGTCGGGATGTTAGAGATGTCGAGTTGTCGGGATGTTAGAGATGTCGAGTTGTCGAGTTGTCGGGGTGTTAGAGATGTTTAGAGATGGCAGGATATCAAAAGGATCCACTCTCTAGCTTAACCCAAACCCCTAGTCCATCACCGTTTACTCCAAAGAACAAAGAGATTCCATATAAGGTAAAGCTAGCATAAATAAGCAATACTCTATCTCTATTTTTTTGCTTCAAGTCAGTCATTTCACGGGGACTCCCCTCTAATACGTTGGAGGAGTTGAGTCGGGTTCGACAACCCGATAGAGACGGGTGGTAGAGATGTTTAGAGATAGCAGGCTATCAAAAGGGATCCACTCTCTAGCTTAACCCAAATCCCTAGTCCATATCCGTTTACTCCTAATCATTCAACAATCTTGTTATTTATTCAAGAAATTTTACTATCATTTCCATTTTTATCCTATCAATTTTCCTTTAATCTCATTTTTTCTTTCATTTCAAAGCTTTCATTTCAATTTTATTGCAATTCCATTGCAATTTCATTTCCATTTCCATTTTCATTTCCATTTTCATTTCCATTTTCCAAGAATACAGAATATTTCAGTGTTTTGTTCTTTTACTGAATTTTTGAGTGTTTATGAGTGGGTCTTAAACTAAAAGAGAAAAAAAAAAGAAAGAAAATAGAGTACATCAAGAGTAGAGTGTGTTCTAATCTTTTTTTTTAATGTAAT